TTATTATTATTATTATTATTATTATTATTAGCCATCATGTTTATTTCAAAGAACCTTGATAGGGATACTGTCAGACTGAAAAGAGAGGGTCTGAGGTATTTGTGGCATCATCAGACATAACTATGACTGAGCTCCATCTTCATAATTATACAGGATCTTGGCTCAGGTCTTGTTTTGATGTCACCCTCTCATCTTATCTTTTGTAACATATTGCCTGAGGAGGAAATCTAGAGCCCTTTCATGCCATGCAATTATAGCACTATGATTCCACTTTTAAAAAAAGGTTTTGGCAAAGTCCAGTTGGTCTGTAGGGATCAGTAAGTAAATCAACTTACATTGAAGACTAGGAATCCTTTCACACTTCACAATTATAGCACTAGATTCCACTTTACCTTCCATAACACTAATTCTCTGTAGCTGAAACTTTTAAGTACCCCTCCCTAAATCCTGGGATTCTACAGGATGTTACCATGGCAGTTAAAGTAGAAACATAGCACTATAATTGTTTGGTGTTAAAGGGCCCCAAAGAACTCAAATGTTTGTTCACATGTTGTGCCTTTTGGTTATCCTAAAAAAGGAATTGCCCAAATATGGATTTTGGAATTTGGAAATGCCAAGAATTCTTTGCTAGATATCTCTAGCCCCTTCCAGGGCTGTGTGGGGAGAAAGTATGGTTACTTCACTAGCTGACTGCTAACATCCATATTAGGGCAATATCTTTGTTAGGACAACCAAGAGGCACAACATATGTAAAAACCTTTGAACTCTCTGGGAGCCCTTTCACACCACATAATTATAGTGCTATGATTCTATTTTAAATGCCATAGCAACATCCTATAGAATCATGTGTACTATAAATTGCATCATGTATCACTGGGCATAATTATGATGATGGTGCTCTGTTTAGTTATGTCTGATGATGTCACCCCCTCAACCCTATTTTTTCAGCTTCATAGTGCCCCAGGCAAAGGGTTTCTGAGGTACAGTTGGCCCTCCATATCCACAGATTCTGCATCCTTGGATTAAACCACCCATGCTTTGAAAATATTTTGTTTAAAAATCCCAGAAGCAAACTTTGATTTTGCCATTCTATATAAGGGACATCATTTTACTATGCTATTGTATATATTGGGATTTCAACATCCATGGATTGTGGTATCCATGGAGGGTGGATCCTGGAACCAAACCTCAGCAAATACCAAGAGCCCACTGTTCTTCTCAGGGTGCTGGGAAACGATGTCTCCAGCACTCTTCCATTCATGGGTCTTATTGAGAACAGATAGCTGATGATTTCCCTTGAGGTCCTGCTGCAACTTCTTATCTCAGTGCACACTATTGCCAGGCTGAAAGGTTTTCAATGCACCCCACTGCTAGGTTTTGGAGATCACATTTGGTCAGTAATAACCATAAATATGAATTTTCTGCAGTTATGAAACTGTAAGTCCACCTTATGATCTCATAACTGCTGAATAGGATGCCAGATTTCTTCTGTAAAGTTGAGTTGTCTGCATGATATCTTGAGCTGTAATGGAGAAAGAAGGGTCTGCAGTCATGATTAAATTAGGTTTCACTTGGCATAAGAGTGTGGAAAGCAGGAGGGACAGAAAGGTTTGTTTCTCAATAAATGTTACATATATATACCCCTAGCCACAAGATGTGTTATGTGTAAGAACTGCTTATGAGGTACTATACATGATTCCTCACTGGACAATGAGTTTTGTATCCTTTGTTCAGCACGTTTTGCTGGCCACATCCCTAGTTTCTGGAAAAGAAAAGTATGCCAAGCCACAGTTTAAACATTTTTTTTTAAAAAAAACAAAAGATATGATGTGCTATCAAGGTCCTGTTGAAACTGATTG